ACTGAATACCGTTTTTTCTCAATGACTTGTACACATCAGAGAATGTCAGAAGAAAAGCACATCGCATAAAAATAGGCTCGCAAAAAGAATGGCGAATCAACATGCCACCTTTAATAAGGCATAACATTTCTGAGGATCTACTGTACCACTAATGTAGTTTCAAGGACATTTTTAAAAGAGAAACGTTAGCCTTTTGAATTTAAAAAAAGTGCAGCAATCGGGTGAAAAAAAAAGAGCAACGCAAATAACTACAAGCTTTGAAATAAAGGATATAAAGTCTCTGCCTTGAAAAGTAAAAAAAAAAAAGACACGACGTCCAATTGTCGGAGAAATAAATCACAGGCAAGAGTGAATGAGTGTGTCCCGGGAACAATGTCAGAGGAGGAATAAGGACGTGACAGGCTGTTTCAGAGTAGGGAAAACCCACTTGGCTCAAGGAGAAACTTGTCAGGAAGTGGAGTCCGTCTCCCCCGATTGATTACCCAGGCTTTAGTGGAGAGGGTTTGTGAAGGAGTGCCAAGAGGGTGGGGAAACAGGATTAATGGAAGTGCAAAGATGCAATAAATCAGGCAAACTGCTGGCCCGGAAGGAAGTTATTACCGGTGGCGGGGTCAAATGCCTCTTAAATCTCCAGCACACAGTGCCACGTCCCGTGCCGAGATCCACGGTTTCGTTAACCACGGTGAGCGCGTTCTCAGAGGGCGGCAGATCGGGGGGCCAATCGGCCTGAACAGGGCCCGTGACTCGAACAGCAGCGGGGCGCGGGCGAGCCTGAAGCCCAGGGCGGGCTGCGATGCCAGGATGGCCCCAGGAAGTTTCTGCTGTTCCCCCAGCGACTCTGCTGCACGTTTTAACTGGTCAGCTGACCCCGAGACGTCAGCGGGGAGAAATCCCATCCTTCTGTCCCCCGCAGAGCCTTTCAAAAGCACCGGCAACTGAAGGTCCTGCAGTTCACTGGAAAAGGCCTTTTCTGTACGGACAAACTCGTCACGTGAATGTTTTACTAGGCAGGACGAGCGTCACTTACCGCGGCCCTGCGAACGCATCTGCGACCGCGCCGTTCATCGCTCTCGGCAAACCTCACTGGTTTTGCTCATTAGATTTGACTCTGGGTCCCCTCGTGCGGGCCGGTCCTGGCAACACGCTCGGCAACAGAGGAGACCATGCAAAGAAGTCGAGAGCTGAAAGCAGCCCTGGACCCAGTACAAATAATAATAATAATAATAATGTTTCTTTATTAGCCTATACAATTTCTTGCATTAGGAATTCGTCTTTTCGCATACCCCAGCTTTTCTCCATGGAAACAGACACACAGACAGGGAGAGAAGCCTGGGGTCAGAGCTCAGGGTCAGCCATCGTACGGCGCCCCTGGAGCACTTGGGGTTAAGGGCCTTGCTCAGGGGCCCAATGGAGTAGGATTCCTCTGCCAGCCGCGGGATTTGAACCGGCAACCTTCCAGTCACAGGCGCAGATCCTTAGCCACAGAGCCACCTCTCCGAGGACCAGGACTTGGGGGTCACCTACAGATGCGCAAGGCAGTGCCCAGGGCTGCGAGCCTACGTATGTGTTTATTGGTTGGAAAATAAAAAAACAAAACATTGAAATAATTATATCTCCACAGCGGAAATATTTGCAGCACAGCAAGGAGAAAAAGAGAAGAGCAAGTGTAGAGAAATGGATCAGCTGTCCCTCAGGCCGATCAGGAGGGGCTAACAAAACAACGCTCGCCGTTAACGCCTCATTCCAGGACACCTTCAATCACACTGTGCTGGAGCTGACATGATCGCATTGAGCCGGGGAGTCAGTTGGTCGAATGCCGAGTCGAGGGGGAAGGTTGTTCTTGTGGCCGGGTGGGTGGGTGGGACGCGGCGGCCCACGCGACAGCCCTCTGTCACTCACAGACCACCCCCCTCCCTCCTGTATCGGATGTCACCCCCATGCTTCCCACATAGAGACCGCTGTCGGGCAGAAAAGTCAAGACTGGTGCTCTCGACGTTAAAGTTCCTTCCATTCAGCTGAATTAATAAACTGCAGAGTACCTCATACCGAACCTCCAGGGGCGGCTTAGACACAGGATGGCTTTAAAGAAGCAGAAGAAAGAAAAAAATAGGACAGGGCCCTGTGAAACCACTTTAGCGCCACTTACAGCTCTCCCACTGCTGGAGCCAAAGCTCAGGCAGCAGGGTCACCAAGAGGGCGCCTGCGCACCGGGCAGGCAGCTGCCAGTCGGCCTCAAGGTTAATCCTGATCTCGGCTCTAAACAGTCACAATACCTCTCCTGCTGAAAAAGTTATTTTAGGGCACCGTGCATAATCAATTCATTTAAGGCAATGAGAACTGAATTAAGAAGTGACTGCACAAGGCAAAGCAGAATATCATGAAGGGCATTTACAGAAGCACTCAGTAAAAGTGAGTTGAAAGAATAATGGTCCCTGAGGTCGTTTCAGAAATGCCAAGTGCTCCAACTGTACGTTTCAATGGACGATGGGTATTTTGAAGATCGTATTTAGTACATGGGATCTGAATAGGACACTATTCAATTTGTTTAGAGGGTCACTCCGAGCTACAAACATTAAAAAAAGGAGCCTGTGACCTTTTTATTTGCAGGTATTTGGCAGAGGGCCAGCCGCTCCCCTGATGACAGAAGAAAAGGCAAAGTGAATTTGGCCACAGAGATTGAATAGCAAATTCAATCATAACTCAATTGTTGCAGAAGGACACAAGTCAGAAAATACTCAGAGTATATATATCAAGGCAATAATGCACTTACAGTAGACATAAAGCACAAGAAATAATTTTTTGGCTTTCCTTAGTTCTGGTTAATAAAAGTGTTTGCAAAAAAGGTGTATACTGTAACTCTGCGATGTCCTTGAACGGTCATTCGTCCCTAGTTACAGTACACTAGGAGCAATCTTATTTACTTTTTAAGACAGGAAAAAAAGCACAATTTAATCAGAATGTTGTTGTTGTTTTTTTATAATGAGGCGATTTCCCATGTAAGAGGAAGCAACAGTGACAAAACTATTAAAAACAAAGGTGTGAAAAGAAGAAAAAAATGGCATCAGCGTCAGACAAACGAAGAGCCTTTTCCGAACGCAGCACTGCGTTGCGCCGCGCTGTTCTTCAGCTGGAGCGCTCCTCGGCTCTGCAGGCCCGGTCGCTGACTGCTGATGCAATCCCACTCTCCCCTGCCTGTGCTCCTGGCTGGCCCCTGGCTCCCCCGGCTCCCCTGGCTGACAGCTGTCCCTCATTAATATTAATGCAGTGCTCTGCGAGGACGGCGCCCCCTGTGGGTCTGGGGGTCTCCCGCGGAGCCGCAGGCCTGTGGGAGGAAAGGCTCCAGCACAAGCTTCGCAAACTCAACACCATTTACTTATTCATGAAACACCTGTTTTCCTTGTAAGCCGCAATCCTAGAGACTGATAGCCCGCTTCCCTCTGCCAAATTGCTTCCTGCTCTCCCTTTGTAAGCAGGAAAGTGGAAACGGACACATTTAACTGAACAAGCCGCTCTCTGGAGCAGGTTCTGAGGCCTCCAGCCAGAGGCGATGACGATGTCTGACTGCTCGTTAGCTCGTTACAGGTCCAGCTGCCTTCGGGAGGATATTTACTTTAAACTGTTTTGAAATTGCTCGTCACAAATCTTGCAATCTAGGTAGGCCCCGTCTGTATTATTCATTCTCTTACTGTACTACAGTACAAAGGAATCACGCAATGGAATTAGAGGGCATTAAAATTTAACCTAACGTTGCTCTCTCAGTCTGAACCGGTGGTGAAAATTCACATAAAAAAAGGACCGCCCATGACACACAGACATACAGTATTACTCCTTCTTTTGTTTTGCCTAATAAAAATAATAAAACCATTCCAATGGTGAAAACAGCAATGATTGTTAATCAATGATATTACACTCCTTTCTGTTTTCAGTTGCACTGCACTGAGGAGCTCTTCCTTCGCCTGACATACATAAAAAAAGGATGGAGCCGTCAACAGTAATGGATCTCTAAATAGCATTTTCTGCTTTATTAGTCATACTTAATAGCTTTGGAGGAGCCATGAGTGATGCTAAATCCCTTTGTTTGAAATCCTTCACTTAAAGTGAGTGCTGCTTGATCTAAAAGGATTCGCTGGCAATTGAAGCTGGAGGTATTTTACACAGGCAAGTTCATATTTTTTAACTGTGGAAGACACGTTTCTGTAGAATAAAAACGCTTACAGCCATGGGAGGAGGAAGAGGAGGAGGAGGAGGAGGAGGGAGGAAAACAGCAGAAAGGAAACGGAATGGAAATTGATTTAAACCAAAGGCAGGACAGTAATTCAGGAGATTGTCTCAGCACATCTTTACAAGTAAATGGAAGGGAGGAAGGACATTCCAGCATTACACCCGCCTGAGCCTGTCTGACGTTGCAGTGCCAAGCAGAGCTACCGCGGGCGGAACCGGCTCCGTGCGGCCAAGGGACCGACAGGGGGACCTCTGTCCCGCAGTGTGGAGCTGTGGAGGCGGAGGCAGCAGAGACACAGAAGAACGCGACGGAGAACTACTCCATCAGCTTTGTCCTCCAGTGGCGCCCGGGGAAGCGAGGAAGAGATGTAGCGAGGAAAAGGGGAAGAGAGGAAGAGTGGAAGAGAGGAAGAGAGAAAGCAAGGAAGAGTGGAAGAGAAGTAGCAAGGAAGAGAGGTAGTGAGGAAGAGAGGTAGCGAGGAAGAGTGGAAGAGAGGAAAGGAGAAAGAGAGGTAGCGAGGAAGAGTGGAAGAGAGGAAAGGAGGAAGAGAGAAAGCGAGGAAGAGTGGAAGAGAGGAAAGGAGGAAGATAGAAAGCGAGGAAGAGTGGAAGAGAGGAAAGGAGGAAGAGAGAAAGCGAGGAAGAGTGGAAGAGAGGAAAGGAGGAAGAGAGAAAGCGAGGAAGAGTGGAAGAGAAGTAGCAAGGAAGAGAGGTAGTGAGGAAAGGAGGAAGAGTGGAAGAGAAGTAGAGGGGAGGAGAGGAAGAGCGGGGCTGCTCACGCTGGATGTCGATGGTGACGCTGGTCTCCTTGCCGCCGGGCACGGCCTTGTTGGAGGCGCGGCAGACGATCTGCTGGCCCGTCTCGATGTTGGAGGGCGAGACGTACAGCGTGCTGACGGTGCTCTCCCGCCGGCCGTCCCGCACCAGCGTCTGGGGAAACAGGCCGGGGACACGGTCAGCTCCCTCAGACCGCCCGAGAGCGGCGTTTTCAAACAGATTCTCTCTAGTCATCGTTCAATTTAAGATTTAAGATAAGTGATTAGCAATTTCAAGCACGGGTTAGTGTATTAACAGACAGTTTTCAATAAAAATACCCCTGCAAACTGTAATACCTACTGTATGTATTTTTTTTTTCTATTTGGAGCAAACAGCTTATGCGGAACTAAAGCAATTTAAAATAGTTTCTTTCCGAAGACCATCACCCAGTATGTAAGCCATATATTATTACCTGTGTAGGAGGTAAGAGAAGTTGTTTTGCCCTACAGCACAAACCCTTTCAAATACCTGTATGTTCTAACCATCTTTTAAGGTTATAAAATGCGTCTGTAATACGGCTTTTAATAGCAATAAAAGTTACATCTTAATTACTCTTTGTCTTTGAGTTTCAGAAAATTGACAGCCTGTTCACTAATGGCAGTAATTAGTCCTACATTTTTCTCCTTTCATTTAAGTTGATAAACTAATGAAACCTTGTATTAACATCCTACCTAAATGAGATGAATAATGAATGCATATTAATGTGCCAAGAAACATGTTATTACTTTAGTTTGGGGTCCACAATATGTTGGATTGTTTGGCAGTGCCTCAGCTCTCCTTTGGCTTCTATTTGGAGCGGAGACAAGCATCCAGGAGCGCACAAAGTAATGGCAAACACAAAATATTCCCTCTCTCAGCAAAGAACATTCTGTACAGCATGTGTAGATTATCTTCTCTTACTAATATAATTCCAGGAGAAATCCTCTAGTCTAGCTTTGCTGAAGTTAAACCAAACTCACAGGCACCTTAAAATGAGCAGTAAATCCTTTAGATGGATTGGTGACTAAGCAATCACAACACAGGTCTTAACGGGTGAGCAGGTCGCTGTACTTAAAAACACTGACAGGCGTTTACCTCCAAAGCTGTCCTGCGAAGACTGTGTCAATGCGTTACCTTCCCTGACACTATCAGGACTGTTTCTTCATGGCCCAAGACCCATCCTAAGAGCCATAAACCATGTACAGCACAACTGCACAGCAAAGCAACGGTCAACACAAGATAGACTGGAACACTAACTGCACCGGTACCACTCTTATATGAAAATCACAATCCACCACACATTCAGCCGGTCATCAACACCGTCCACCGTCCAATGACATGGAAACCAATTAACAGAAGACTTGGATCACCTGTAGGCGATTTACCATCTCGCCTGTTCCAGGTGATGCAGAAGATAAACACTCGGATCTGACCAAGCTCAGGGCACAGTCATACTGTAATAATCCGCTGCTGAGATGGGACTAGCAGCAGATCTTGAGGCAAAGAGTAATCCAACTGCTAGGCAAGAGGCAAATGAGACAGGAAAACCGGGGGGGGGTACTGCACACATTTAGGGAACTGTGCAGGAGGCACAGTGCTGTAGTCAGCTTGGGACTCAGAAGTGCAGCAGTGCATGCACTGTTCTGTGGCAAGACACACAACCAGGAAATGAACACAGTCCCAGATCGTGGTCAAGCAGGCGGGGGTCAAGAAAATTAATTTAGCAAAAAAGGGGAATTCAGGACCTGTGGTCAGAGAGAAGCTACGGTCAGGACCAGGGAGCGAGGTGATCACAGGCGAGAGTTCAGGAGATGTAGTGATAACAACAAGCAGGGTCTGAAGCTGAGAAAACACAGCAAAGTAACCAGCACAGGGGATGATCTGTGAGGTACAAAACAAAGCAGAAGTCAGGATTAAAGAAGCTAGAGAACCTGAGGAGCAAGATTCGGAGGGCTCAAAGACGAAACTCTATGACTGAGCCCCCAGCTCTGCCAGATCCACGTATTTATCATCTGAATCACATGGAACAGGTGTGGTCGTAAATCATCTCCAGGTGATCCAAACCTCCTGTCAACTGGATTCCATAGCAACTGGTGCTGGGAGACAGGCTGGATGGTGCCGCTAACCGGCTGCCAAATCAGTGCGAACTCCCCCTGCTGCCTGTCAGCGAGGACGCACACGACCGAGGACATACTGTACCGCTCCCTCTGCAAAGGCCAGAGAGGAAACAGCAAACAAGGCAAGAACAGAAGCTCTGCTGCACGAGCCAGGTCACAAATGTCACGATCAACAGGGGAACATGGAGCCCAACGTGTGCAACATCACAGTTTTGAGACTTTATTGAGGTGTGAAAAAAAGTTCACAACATTACCAAATTTCTGTCTGGAGACATTCTAAATACAAAACAGCACAAAAAGTTTTATTTCTGGAAGGAGAAAACATGAATTCAGATTAATTAGGAGAAAATGCAAATTTACCATGAATTCAACACTTTAATTCTCATTTTTCTCTTGATTTTAAAATCCTATCCCACAGTACGTCTCCCATCCCCTCTATGACAGGCTTGTAGAAATGAAGAACGCGTTCAGCAATAGGCTGGTCCATCCACGGTGCGACAGGGAGCGCTACAGGAGGTCATTCTTGCCTTCTGCCATAAGACTGTACAACTCATCCACTTTGTGTCTGGGCAGGGGCAACACTGACATTGACCTGTTTTTGGACTAAACAGTAAGCTCTCTGCTTACATCTAGATTTTCCCATTTACAACTGTTTTGTGCAATATACTGTATGCCAGAGACTTGTGCAATATATTTATATTTATAATGTGCTATACAACTTTTTGTGTACTGTTCTGGTTTGTTCTTTGTATATTCTCGTCTGTGACCAACTCTTCTTGGTGCACTTCTCACTGACTGTACTGATTGTATTATATGTATTGTATTGTTGTATTATTGTATCATTTCGTTACACTGTGCTAAGCTGCTGTTGCACTGCAATTTCCCTCACGGGATCAATAAAGTATCTATCTAGTATATTAGATAGATAGTATATGCAGTTTTTCAAGTCCATACTTCCACTGGGCTCCAATCAGAATCCTGATGATCATGCAGGTTTCTATTGATAAGAAGAAAGCTGAAAAGGCAATTTTACAAGTATTTAAAAAATTGAAATAAATGAATTAATATGATTGTCCCCGTAAGCGATGAGCTGTTTGTGAACAAAATGACACTCTCTCCAGGCCTTCCCCTTAGTGAGAGGAACTACTGGTGAATCTGTGTAGCGTGTAATTAGAATATCTCCGACTGGGTACACACATGCACAATCACACACAGGTGCTTCAAACATGAGGAAGCAAACCCCTTCATCCTTCATATTATGCAGCAAATTTCATTTAATAAAATATCATTGCATTAACCATCCTTTGCTTAAAATTGTATTGAACCTAAATGGCTCCTGTTTAATTTGCTCTGTGCAGTTTATACTTATTACTTGACTTGTTCAGTCAGAGACAAGTTTATTTCCGTTTTTTAAATTGATTACCTGTTGGATCGTTTCTAGTCCACCAGAAAAAAAAAAGCTACTGAAACAGTTCAAAGCAAATTCTGAACCAGCCTACATTGATTTTTTTAGTGGGGAAAGAAGAGTGTACTTTGAACAAACTAAAACTATATTTATTCCCTTGATTATGAATTTATTCACACTTGAGCTAACCAAAAAATGTTATATTTTACTACTTCAATGGAGATAAATGAAGCATACTGGCATATTCTGAGCATAAAAATAAGAATTGGCACACCTGTCACATTAAATTAAAAAATAATGTTTTTTTTTTCTTTAAAATACTTCTTAGAGTCATTCTTAAAACTTTACAAATATTCTTAGCATCTTACATCAGTAACTACATCAGCCCCTATAAATAGCAGGGCTTTCTCATTATTACTTCCAAGCTTCCAATTAGTAATGATAAGCTTATTTGGTCAAAATTAATCGTTTTTAATCCTTCAACAAATGAAGAACTGAAATGACCTTCAACATTAACAGGATGATGAATATTGACGCTTGGATCAGATTCAAAATGGCACTTTTTTACAGTTAAATCTAATGCAATTTTACTGCCCCTTTACAGAGCATCACACTTAAAAATGCATCAGTACATTATTTCTCTGATGGGTCCTAGTAGTAACTACCAGTAGAGACCTGGAAGAGCAGATAGAGCCTCACTTTCAGGACGTCACTGGTTACGAATGGTGTGGTGGGATGATTTCAATTGACCAGACAATCCTGAACCCCCCAAACAAGAAGGGCCTCAGTATCTTCCCGGGAACCTGCCAGCTGACCCGTATCATCAGTGAGAGCTGCACTGCTCCTCGAATCAGGGCCAGCTCTCCAGCAGCTACGCTGAGCCTCAGCGTGTTGGAAACGGTGGATGGCTCCAACAGTACAGCCCTCAGTCTTTTCCCGATGGCACCCCAAAAGTGAAAAGAAGTGATTTAAAATGTTCAAACGAGCAATTAGAAGTTCCAAATCGAGGGGTACACATGGAAAGCAAAAGTAATATTTCAGAAAATAAAACTCCCGTTATTTTTGGGTAGTGCGTGCAGTTTAATGCATTTCACACTAAGCAGACAAGAGATTTGCCTTGCTGTAATTTACTTTCTGATCCTAACCCCATCACATCACAGGAAGCTCAGGCCTTTTCTTCTTCAATTAAAAATCCTCCTTTACCTTCTCCCAGCATCCACCTTTAATTTCTTTAGCATTTATTACTGCGAGCCAAGGAGGTTAATTAGTTTGACTAAAAAAGTAAAACGAAGAAAAAAAATAAGTCACACAGTCGAGAGGAATGCAAATGAGACATATTTAAAATTAATATTCTAGTCTACAATTAGACGCTCTACCTGTCTTATGAACAAAGGAATATATGACAATTATAATGTATTTTCAACAGATAATTAGTAACACTTTCCAGAGTTTTTAGCGACCAATGGAGTTGGAAAAAAAAGACTAATTATACAGCAATGTTTGGCTGAGATGAAGGCTGTACAGAGGATAATGAAATTGACAGACAGATAAAGCAGCTGCTTTGAAAGTTAAAGAAGCACTTATCTATGAAGTACAGGTAAGCTAAACTCCTCCTCACTCCCTACAAATGATAACTTTAAGAGAACAGAAGGAGGCTTTCATAATCTTCAATTCCTGATCAAGAGCCTCTGATCTGAGCTAGCCAAGTGTCTGCCTGACCCCCGTTCGGGCTGGAAACCTCTGACCCTCAGGCCCGTTCTTCAGCAAGACCCACGCCAAGCCAACAATCAGGGAGAGGAATGTTGCAGCTCAGGTTGTGACCTACCCTCTGAGATAAAACACTGAATCCGTTGCTTCTGACGTCCAGCGACTTGCAATTATGTATTATTTGCCATTAACTACCCTGCAACGTTTTTTTCCAAGACAAAATTCACATTTTACTGTACAGCAGGGCCCTCGCTAGAACAATTCGCACGGGTGGGCAATTGGTTTTAACCAGGGAGGGGGTCCTGGTTCGAGCGCCTGTCTGAGACACGTGACTCTGATACATATGACGCTACTGTACGTGTTTTCATTCGTTTTTACGGAAAATGAAAATTTTATTGAAATGTTAGATTAGTTGCATATATTTTGTCCAATATTTCTACAAAAAAAATCAATTTTATTAGAAAATATAAAATATTTTTTTGGGGGGGCACGTTAGCCCACATGGGGGGGGGGGGCGCATTAGGGCCCCCCCCAGTGATGGCTGTGAGTAGATGCCCTACAAGTGAGGAGACAAGAACAACAGCTGATTAGAGTGTGTTGTTCTGTAGTGGGACGTCATCTGCACCCTTTCTGTGTTTTCTTATCAAGCTCAAACACATAAGTTCAGTCGGGACTCCTGCCTCACCCCCCCCCACACACACACACTTCTCCCACTCCCCCACTTATCACAGACGGTTTCAATGATGTGAAATTCAGAATATATGAACATCCTTCCTTAGGTCAACATCTTCCCAGCACAAGACTTTGATCACATTAGCAAATGCATATATATTATAGTACATACAGTATACTGAGCTTTCCACTCTCTAATGAATATATAGTTGCAAACAGGTCTGGATTTAAATCCTCCTTGATATATTTCAAGTATTGCGTGTAAAGAATTGAGCATTTTGCTGAGAAATTACCTCAATCAGCACCACACCAAGTAGTCATTTTTCAAGGGAAATTGCGTTGTACTTTAGCTCAATCAACGCTATTTATCTCCCTCTAAACAGCTGAAAGGCCAGTAATGAGATCAGAAACTGCTAGTCTCATTGATGCCCATAAGGTTTCATATCCTGTGTTCATTTATATGTTAATTTACGGGGTATTGTTGATTACGTGTTCAGGCAGAGAGTTCAAAACATCAAAGTTCCCGTCCGTGGGTCAAGCTAACACACTCAGGCAACATTACTCAAGTTCTGCCTAATTGTGGTAAAAGCAGCAAAGAAAAGAAGGTTATTTAAAGGCATGAGAGTTCTGAAAAGAAAAAAGAATGTCATATGCAAAGGATCCTTCATCAAGGCAGTGCTTTTCCCAACCGTTCTTTCAGCAAGCACAAACAGCTGAAAAAGCTGACAATCGAGCCAACTGCTATTAGAACACTTTAATAACGGGAGGCAGGAAAACGAGTTCATTTCTGCTGAATGGGAGAACAAAGCGCAGGTCTGTCTCTCATCAAAGATGAAACGCGGAAAGATTGGTTTGTACTTTCATCAACAGCTATCCCTTTCTAAAGACGCTACTCCTGCACTGAATGCGTTACACAATGGGGTACGAAAATGTTAAGACTGGATCTAACAGGAGACAAGAGACTAAAGACATCTGATGTGAACCCACAGATTTTCCTTTGATCGTCCACTAATGAGGCTCATTTATAGTCCGTAAACACAATAAATCTGAATGGTCCTAAATATGTATCTAATGCATTTCAGCAAAGGTGCATCACACTGCAAAGCAGGGATAAAGGAGGGTGAAGGAAAGGACATCTATTTTATATTCGCATACGGTACTGTGTATATCTTCTGCCGAATGTTTGATCAGCTTGCAGCAAGCAGCAGCAGCTGGCTCTAAAGCAGTGGCACACCCGTTTCCCTCTGCAGCCAGTCCCTCCCTGCCTGCCCGCGCCACAGCTTTCTCGTCTCTCTGACCCGCCTCCAGGGGAAAGCACCGAGCCCGGCACGCGCGCACCTTAGAGTACATGGCCCCGTTGAGCACTTCGCCGTTGCGGATCCAGAGGATGGAGGCGGCAGGCTTGGCGTTGTCGGCGTGGCAGGTTAAGTTGAGGGGGTCCCCTGCCCTCAGGCTCACCACCGGGCCTCCGTTTATCACCGGGTCATCGGGGGGGACTGCAATGAGAAACAGGAGGGATAAGGAGCTGGAAAGCAACGGGCTCAGCTGTCTCCCCGATTACGGAGGACAGTAAAACAACCCAAGCATGGGAACTGGGAGCACCAGGGAGCATGGTAACATCTCAGGACCTGCTCAGATTTAATACTGGTTAGAAAGACCAACAGCACACACCACACAAGCTCAGCTCACGGTCTTGTTAGCACTACAAGTAATGTAATCCCACACACTGGACTTACAGGAATGACTTCAGCACCTCTAACAGCACATGGGCAAGGTAAATGAAAGGATATATCATGGGTCCAGGATATGGGAAACTTTATTCCCCTTGTCGCCTTGCTATGATAACAGGCCTCGTCTCGGCTTAAGCCTGTTTATTCCTTGAATTTCCTTGAATCCATCCACTCCTAACAGAAGGATAACCTCTCCTCTTCAGAACCAGCTTCTGCAGGGTCCAGTACCGCCCCACGTTCCCCTGGAGTCCGAGGCACCTGCAGGCCTTGGTGCTGTACAGGCTGCACTGTACGTTTTTCAGTGCTGGAGCCATGGGGAGGGAGACAGCAGGTCTTATTACGGGACGAAAGGGAAATCCGCTGGGCACGGATTGCGCAGGTGTGTGATGTGTATTCAATTACGGGAGATTTAACTGCAAGCGAGGAAACCTGTGAATGGCGAAGGCAGGAAGACGCAGAGGAAAACACTTTCTGTGCATGAGAGAGTGAAAGGGAGACAGAGATGGGGAGAGAAAAGAGTCTTGAATAGCACTGATTGCATTCTTTTCTTAAACAAGCGCTGATCACCCCAGTTTTATTCAAACTCCAGTGAATTATTGATTGGACTCTCAGCTCATTAGAGTGCAGATCTGGGGCAGGAGGAGATCAAAGGCGGCGGCAGCAGCTGGCACACCAGTGAGCGAGAGAGAAAGAGGCAGAGATAGAGGGAGACAGGGAGGGACAGAGAGAGAGACGGGAACGAGGCAGAGGAAGGGAGAAACAGAATGAGAGAAGGAAAGGGAGAGACAGAGCGAGATAAAGAGATTTTTTAGCCACCTTCAGTGCCCAAAATGCATGTCACACAACACACATACAGTACATACTGTAGCTAAAACTGACCAAAACATTAATATCCAAAAACAGAAGGAGAATGGAGGCAAATATACGTCACAATTCAAATCCAGCAAAGGCTGCCACTTATTATTCTTCTCCTGTAGACAGGGGATATCTGATGAGCCCTCGGCAAACACTGCATTTGTCTCAGAAACATTTTAATCAAGCCGCACAATGAGACTTGGATATTTTAATATAAACTGCTCACTTCCCCTAACTCTCCCCTTCAATGGGTAAACTGAGCCATTCTGGGGTCTGTGCTGGACAGACCTGAATCCTACTGCTACAGTATCTCCCACCTTCACTTACAGTGTTACAGATCACAGTGGCGTCTTAGTTGAAAGTGCACAGCCAAATGTGACGAGAGCACATCCGTTAAGGTGAAGATCAGTACGCTGGTCTGGCAATGTGATCATTTCTAATGTAAAAACCACTCGTACAAGTTTCAGCCTGGAGAATATATAATAATAATAATAATAATAATAATAATAATAATTGCATACACTTATATAACGCTTTTCTGGACACTCCACTCAAAGCGCTTTACAGGTAATGGGGATCCCCTCCACCACCACCAGTGTGCAGCCCCACCTGGATAATGCGACGGCAGCCATAGTGCGCCAGAACGCTCACCACACATCAGCTATCAGTGGGGAGGAGAGAAGAGTGATGAAGCCAGTTCATAGAGGGGGATTATTAGGAGGCCATGATTGGTAAGGGCCAATGGGAAATATGGCCAGGACACCGGGGTTACACCCCTACTCTTTTCGAGAAACACCCTGGGAGTTTTAATGTCAGGAACTCGGTTTTACGTCTCACCCGAAGGACGGCGCCTGTTTACAGTATAGTGTCCCCGTCACTATACTGGGGCATTAGGACCCACACAGACCATGGGGTGAGCGCCCCCTGCTGGCCCCACTAACACCTCTTCCAGCAGCAACCTTAGTTTTTCCCAGGAGGTCTCCCATCCAGGTACTGATCAGGCTCACACCTGCTGAGCTTCAGGGGGTTGCAAGTTGTGAGTTGCAGAGTGATATGGCTGCTAGATAGAAAAGAAGTGGCAATGTTTAAAACTTTTATCTCAGGCTCAAGTGATTCTATTTTCTTTCAAGGAAAAAAGCTTAAAAACAATGTCAAACCTACAGGTAACATATTCCATTCCTATCTCTGCTACCCCCCCCCCAAAAAAATTGCTAAAAGACAGATTCATTAATGGTTACAAATTCCAACCAAGCTTTCGAAAGCTGCAATAGAAAGGCAGGAGTAATTTTAAGAGCAAGCTTACTACGGTCCTGTAGCCACTGTGGCTCAGCTGAGTCTATGGGCCCCTGCTCTGTCTGGTCTGGTTATGGCTTATGAGTCACAGAAAATGATTCACACACTCATGTTCCTTACACAGGGGCGGAGATCTTTAAGAACTTTAAGACAAACTTTAAGGAAGTATTTCAGAATTTCTTTGAAATACTGTATTTACGATGGTAAGAGGGTGACTTTTTTTCCATGCTTTCATCTTTTTTTGAATAATCAGCTCTGGGGACAGTGTAGGTTAATGGATTTACAATCCTGGATTTGATTCCCAGCGAATCATCTACTGGCACAGGGCATTAATCTCTATCTTTTGACATCTGTGCTCTCAGCTCAGGTGGGACCAATCAATGTGGGAAGGGGTTAAGACATCTGGTCAATATCAAACATTTGCCCATCGCGTAACAGATAATAGACAACTGTTCAAAAGTTGCACTTAAAGCTTTCTGTGTTACGTACAGCTCTTTCTGAAGTTTCCGACAGCACCATTTTTATTGCTTTAAAGTTGAAATACAATGACCAGCCTTTTATATTGGACTGAAATATATTGAATAGAAAATAATGAAAGAAAAGATTGATCATTTTGCATTATTTTATAATCATATTATATAGCAAAGTATGTTAATTATGTAATATAATGTAATACCATATTATGTTATAGTATAATTTAAGACATTAATACAATCAGAGTGTTTTAAATTTGTGTTTTAAAATAAACATAAAAGATTACAGCATTGCAGCATTAGATTTGGAAAGCAGAAGCCAAGCAGTTTTGTTTTACAGTAAATCCTGCCTGACCCCTCGTTCTCTCAAAAGCACAAGACAGAATTGTTCCCATCAATCAGACCAACCCAGAAGATAGATCTGCATTCCATATTTGACTGTAACTGAATTTAAACAGCAGGAAAAAAATAGAAAGGAACAAAGATCAACAACGCTGTTAAAACCAGGGTCTGAAAAACACTCGGACAATCAGGCTGGTCGAATTTTCAGATCAGCAGATTTCCTGTTGCAGACAACATCTGCGTTTTCATTCATAAATTCACGACTCCTTACTGCATTTCACGACTGCATTTGCCTCGGACGCAATTGTCTTTTCTCTACTTCTATACTTCTATACTTTTTCTATACTTATTAGTATTCCGCTAATGTGGTTGATGTGCTTCTGTGTTGAGAAAGCACATACTGTACTTTGACTAAACCAGACTGCATACTCTTTGTAGAAATGTAAACCCTTTTCATCTCCAAACACACAAGTTGTTTACTGTATATGGCAATTTGCTGTGTGTTAACAATTTGAGCGTTATCAAACCGTGCTCATGGATATCCTGTCTGATTTACACACTGCACAATTATGAACAATCTTCACTGCATGCACAGGGAGCTTTGTTGTTATATTTCTGGATGACATGACTCTCTTCACACCCCGACCAATTTCTAAACCCATTAAATCCATGTGGTCTGTTATCGACTCATCCAGAGAGAATCTTGCTTCCTGGGATTCCATTATTACAGACTCTGTGCAGGAGATGGGCTGAAATTCCACAGACTCAGGGAGCTTCAATGTATCGTTTCTACTGATTGCAAGATCGTTACTGCCCCTTAATAGGGCACAGGGTAGCACCACGACTCACCGACCCTTCTCATCTTCTACCGCTGCCTGCTGTGCTTCCAGAATTGCCTGGGTCTCCCCTTACTGTCTAATCTTTGTGCTTTACAATTCCTCACTAAGGTGGGGGTCCATGGCACTGCTGCTTTAAACAGGCATATGTGGACGTGCACACTGGAAAGGCAAAATTAAGCAAATTGCATTGACTGAAATGGGGCCGGCAGGACTCCTGGAACCTTGTTAAGTGTGCTTTGTGCATGTAGCCAAGCATGCGCCTGCAGCCACTGGGCTGGGGAGTTGTAATCCCATCAACTGAGATGAGCACTGGTGGCCCCAAGCTATTTTTTTTTTTTTTTTGCTGAGAGAAGCGGAGAAACAAAAGATTCAGAAGCCATTTTTCTCATCAAAACCGCATCTGAGGTGGATGTGTCTGAAATGGGTTTAGCGATACCGAGGGGGCATGACTGGAGACGTGGTGGAAACGGTGTTCAGTCGGCGCCCGAGCCACAGCCTGGCCGCTCCATCAGCGAGGACGTGACTGGAGGAAATGTACTGAGCCGTACAGCCCCTGACGCTTAATATGTCTGCTGTATCTGAGCATCTCTCTGTTCTGCGGCAGCTTTGATGATCCGTCAAAAAATGTCTTTTTCAATTCTTTAAAGCAAAAACAAATTAATAAGGCTCTTTTCTGCCAAAGAGGGATGGTTAGTGTGGCATTTCCTTTCAATTTGTCTTTTCCAAGAAAAAGCCAGCGAGCTTTCAAACGTTCTCTCCACCTCTCTAAGTAAGCAGCTCTTTTCATCCACAAAAGAGCCGCAGCCTTGTGGAAGGAACCATTTCCCAAGAGAACGTCGAGGTACTGCTTCGTGATGGACACCGATAAAATCCCAAAAGCAGCAGGTCCTAAGAAATGCAAAGCCTGTCCTAGCTTTGAGTGTAAATTTGTTCAAAAAATGTCACAGCTGCTAGAAAGCGTACA